TATACTTTAATTTTTTATATGTACCGGCGCGTAATAATAAATACGATAATTTTTTTAAAAAACATTAAATACGCCATAATATTTAAAATAAATAAAATTATTATTAAATATATAATATATAAAATTATAATTTAAACCGTTTTTTAATAAAATAACTCTTTTTTTTAACTTTTTTAAACGAATAATCGTTATATTACGAATTATTATTATTTATTAAGGTTATGAAATTAGTATTAAATATTTAATATTAAATTAAGTATTTACTTAATTTATAAATATTAATATTAAATTTTTAAATATTTATTAAGTTTAAGTTAATATAAGTATCCGATTTTAAAATACTTAACGATATTTATAAATATTTTAATATTACTTATTATATTTAAAGACTTTTAAATAACTTTTAATAATATAAAATACTTTTAACTTTTAAATTTATAAAACATAAATTAAATTTAATATAATATAAATCAAATTTATTATAAAATAAATAATTAAAAAGTTATTAATTATTTTAAAATAACCGATTTATATAAATTAGGGCTGTGATTAAGTAACTTTAAATATATACTTAATAAGTATAAGTAATTACTTATTAAGTTTGAGTATAAGTAAATACTCATTAATTATTTCACTTTTAATACTCATATTTAATAAATATATATTAATACTTATAAATATATTACGTATATTTACGATAATAACTCATACTTAATATTATATTAATTAATTTAATTTTAATTTAATTTACATAATTAAAAATAACTAAAAAGTTTTATATTTTATAAAACATTAATTATTTAAATAATTATAATAATTATAAATAAACGGTTTTATACGTTTTAACGTTAAATAAAAAGTAATATAAATATAATTTTAATTATATTTTTAAGTGTTAAGTATAATAAGTAATACTTAAATATTTATAAATATCGTTGAGTATTTAAAAATCGGATACTTATATTAACTCAAACTTAATAAGTATTTAAAAATTTAATATTAATACTCATAAGTTGAGTAAATACTCAACTCAATACTAAATACTCAATATTAATCTAATATAAATGGTAAAGTGGTAGTTTTAAAATCGTAAAACTTCAACTATTAATAAATTAATTAATATAATTCTCTTTAAATAGGTTTTAATAATATAAATTACCTTAAATCTTTATATTTATAAAATATAAATTAAATATTTAATAAATAAATTAAATATTTAATAAATAAATTAATTAATTAATTATAATTAAATTAAAAAAATAAAAATAAAAATAAAAAAATAATTTTAATAATAAATTTAATAATAATAAGAATAATAATAAGAATAATAATAAATATATAATAAAAGGATAAGTAAATTGAGATTGAATTAAAAAGGTAAGTTATCGTAAATATATATAAAAAACTGTATAATAAATTACAAAAAGTTGATTTTAAATCATCGGATTTAAGAAATTTAAATCCATTTATAAAATAAATACCGTAAATTTAAAAGTTTTACCCTTTATTTTAAAACCGGTATAAATAATATACGGTATTTAAAAACAACCAATTAAATTTATTATATTAATTTATCGGGTTTTAAATCCGGTTTTAAATTCTTAAATCCTGTTTTATAATTATAAATCAAGTTTAATTTTAAATTATAATAGTTATAATAACCAATTAAATCTATTATATTAATTTATCGGGTTTTAAATCCGGTTTTATAATTATAAATCAACTTTAATTTTAAATCACGGTAGTTATATTAACCAATTCAATTAAATTGCGTAATCTTTAAATTTCCAAGCAACGGGTTTAATTTTAATTCCATTCGGACGATATTTTATACCGATTTACTTTATATAAACTACGATTCCTCGTAATTAATTTCCTTTCCTTTTTTTTCACTACACATTTAATATTTAATGTTTAATTACTTTAATTAATTAATATGTATTATTATTATTTAATTTATTTACACGATTTACGTGTGTTTTATTTTTATTTACACGATTTAAGTGTATTTTATTAACACAATTTAAGTGCGTTTTATTTTTATTTATATTTATTTAAAGTACGGAAAAAATCTTTTAAAATGGATTTTAATTTATATTCGGATTCTATTTTTATTTTTAAAGAAACAACCTTTACAATTCCAATATCCCAATCCAATTCAATTGCCGATAAATTTAAAGATTCACTTTTTAATAAAGATTCTTTTAAATTAAAACCCGACGATAAAAATATTTATATCTTTAAAAATAAACTATTTACTCGTACTTTATTACTTATTAATTACAATAAAGAACGGGAAATAGAATTACAATACACAATGTAAGTAATTTATTTATTTATTATTATTATTATTATTATTATTATTATTATTATTATTATTATTATTATTATTATTATTATTATTATTATTATTATTATTATTATTATTATTGTTATTATTATTATTATTATTATTATTATTATTATTATTATTATTTATTAATTTATTAAAGGTATATTAATAAAAAATAGATTGTTATAGTTAAAAATTACCGATCTTTTAATTAAAGTGTTTATTATAAAATTACGCACCCAGAAATAACGTATAATAAATAAATTAAAAAAAGAAGGAAAAATTAAAAGTAAGTTATTTAAATATTTATTTATTTATTAATTTATTAAATTATTAAATAAGAACCGATATTCTTATTATAATTATTATTAACTTTTTCGATTTATCTTTTTAAAAAAGGTAACGAATTAATATTTTATAAACTCCCAAATTCGAAACCGATGAGTTTTATAATAAAATTTTACATTTTATTATCGAAAACAATTTAGCTTTTAATATTTTAAATTCTAAATCGTTTCAAAATTTAATTACTTATTTATATAAGTAAGTTATTTAATTAATTATATTTAATTAATTATTTAAAGGGATACACTATAAATCGATCGTTGAAAAATTAAAACGATTTTATCTTTAACGTTTTCGAATTTATTATTAACTTTTAATTTAATATTAGAATTTAATATTAAAAATAATAAGAAATTTTCCCTTATTATCGATATTTGGAAATTTAATAATTAAACCTTTTATTTAAGGGTAATTATTTGTTTTATCGATTTTGATTTTAATTTAAATTATAAATTAATCGGATTTCACCCTTTATCGGAATTTTATACCGGAGTTTATTTATACGAGGAATTTTCGAAAACGTTAAAAGATTACCTTATAATCAAACTCTAAAATATTATAAGGTATTTATTTTAATTTTATTGATATTAATTCTTATATTTTATTTTTATTTAATTATTTAAATATTTATTAATGTTTAAATTTATTAATATTTAATAGTATTACTCGAGATAATATATAAAACAACGATACTTTTTTAAAAGTCTTTTATAATGAATTTTATAATTCATTACGATTAGATTTTTTAAGAGATATACGTTACATTTATTAATATTATAGTTTAAGATATATTTAAAGTATATATTATTACCGATTCGGAAAAGAATACGATTAATTAATATATTAATCTCGTGGTTTTTAATTTAAATAATACGGATTTAATTTAAATTATTAAAAATACGGATTTTTTAAGTAAGTTAAATTAATTATATTATTTTAAATTAATTTTTAATTAATATATAATTAGATTTAATTAATTAAGTTTAAAGAATTATAATATTAATTAAATATATTCGCGTAATTAAAAGTTTATTAATAAATAATATTAAAGATATTTAACAAAATTATAATATTATGAAAATTTTAAACTGTATGTTTTATATTTTTTTATTTAATTATTTAATTATTTAATTATATTAACGTTATAATATTTAAATTTTTATATTTATTAAAATTTAACGTATAAAATGATTAAAGTTGTTTTAAAATTAAAATAACCGTTATTTTATATAAATCGAAATACCGACCACCGCGAATTTTAAGAGATCTTTTTTTCCGATATTAATTAGTTTTTATTAACCGAATTAAAACGAATATTTAAAGTATTTATTAAACCCTTTATTAAATTATAAAGAAAGGTTTATACCACTTTATTTAAAGGTTTATTATATATTTATTAAATATATTATAAATTAAAAGATATACGGTTAAATTATCGTAAATAAATTTTAAACCATCCAATTTTAATAAATAATTTTATTTTTATTAAATCTTTATATTGAATTAATTAATTTAAATAATAAATTAATAGATTTAATTTAAGATTTTTAAAAATTAATTAATTTAAAAATTAAATTAATTATAATTAATATTAAATGAATTTAAATTAAATTAAATTAAATAAATTTAAAAATAATTATTACGTAAATTGAAAAGTATTAAATATAATTAAAAAATAAAATAAATTAATAAACTTATTTTATTTATTTATAACGTAAATTAACTTTTTTATATAAATTTAAAAAGTTTAAAATCTATTTATATATATATAATTATTTATATATATATATATTAATATTTAATATATTTTAAAAGATTTATAATAAATTCTTAATTTATTATATTATTATAATTATTTATTTATTTTTTAATAATTAAATTTAAAGTTACCGGTTTTAAGTTTATATTAAACTATCGATTAGTAAGTCCACGGCGGGCTGGGTAAATGGAGACTAGCAATCCCGATCACCCCGTGTAGTACCGATTATAAATCAATATTTCAACTTATGGGCTTTATCCATCTTACCGCCGATAACTCCTTGCCTTCGGTTCCACATCGCGGCTTGCGTCTGCTCTCCTATGGGCACTGACTGCTCCATTCTCTGCTATTAACCCGCCTTAGTTGGTCTCTTAGTCGGTCGGTGACATCACCGCAACGTTTTCAACCCGTTCGGTCCGACATGTATCAGCACTAAGCAGAGCTTGTAGTTTCCATATCGCCGACAGCTAAAGCTGTTGTGGTCACCCGTTCACCTAATGGCGAAACTCCTTTCCCATCACTCTGTACCTCCAATCCGTGATTCCACTCAGGACTGTTGTCATCATGTGGGGGAGCGCTGTGGACAGTGAGGCGCTTCGGCGCACTGAGTCTGGCATGCCCACTCAGCATTGGCACCGGGATGCAGTTGAATCCAGGGAAATAAGAGATAATGGAATGGAGGCTGGTGGCCAGACCACAGGCACAGTAGCCGACGGTACATGGGGCGAGCAAGACGTGGGCGGCTTTGACGAGCAGAATGCGATGCAGGAGTATGAGGCGCTTAGAAATAACCTACTGCACCTGCACAAGACGCGCACTCGTGACTCCCAACGCAAAGACACGGCGGGAATTTCCAGCACGAAGAGCCGAGTACCATTCGGTCGTTCTCTCTCCCGGCCAAAGACTACAGAGACATGTGGCAGTCATCCAGGAGAAGACGAAGCTCCAGATGACGAAGACGGTTTTGAGCTGGCCAACTTCATGCGTCAAGGCCACTTCGAAAAGCGAACGGAAGCGGGCTCTGAGAAGAGAGTTGGGCTTGTCTACCGAAATCTGACAGTCAGAGGCGCTGGGAGTACCAGCACATTCGTACGCACCGTCCCGGACGCGATTGTTGGGACATTCGGGCCTGACCTGTACAACCTATTATCGCGTTTCTTGCCGTTTCTCAGGCCTGCGCAGTCGCCGACTCGAACCCTCATCCACGACTTCACCGGATGCGTGCGCGACGGCCAGATGATGCTGGTTTTGGGAAGGCCAGGTGCTGGGTGCAGTACATTTCTCAAGGCTGTCAGCAACAACACAGAGACTTTCGCCGCCGTGGAAGGGAACATATCGTATGGTGGCATCTCGGCGGATAAACAGAAAAGGATGTATCGCGGAGAGGTCAATTACAACGCCGAAGACGACATTCATTTTGCACCCCTGAGTGTCTGGCAGACACTGACCTTTGCGTTGAAGAACAAGACGAGGAAACACGCCCAAGAGGACATCCCGGTCATTGTCAATGCACTAATGAGAATGTTTGGAATCAGCCATACGAAGCATACCCAGGTTGGAGATGAATATACCCGGGGTGTATCTGGAGGCGAGCGCAAACGTGTATCCATTGCCGAGACGCTGGCATCGAAATCAACTATTATGACATGGGATAACTCGACACGTGGATTGGATGCCTCGACAGCTCTGGACTATGCGAGATCGCTTCGTATCATGACTGATATAAGCAACCGCACCACCCTTGTGACCCTGTACCAAGCTGGTGAGGGCATCTATGAGATAATGGACAAAGTACTGGTCATTGATGAGGGTCGAGAGATATTCTCAGGCCCTGCGAAGGTCGCAAAGCAATACTTTATTGACTTGGGCTTCGAATGCCCTGACCGTCAGACCACTGCCGATTTCCTAACCGCAGTTACAGATCCGAACGAGCGACGTATAAGATCTGGGTTCGAGAACAAAGTACCCCGGTCTCCTGAAGAACTGCAAAAGGCATTTCGCAGCTCCGAGTACTATACGAGGTTGCTGGCTGATGTCGAGAGCTACGAGCAGCATTTGCAGCGCACTGATTTTGAGGCTGCGAAGCGATTTGAAGGCGCAGTCCAGGAGTCAAAGTCAAAGACCGTGCGTCACAAGTCTTCGTATACCGTTTCCTTCGTACAGCAAGTCCTGGCCTGTACTCAGCGCGAGTTCTGGCTTCTTTTTGGGGACACAAAAACTCTATGGACCAAGCTGTTCATCATCATCTCCAATGGACTCATCGTTGGCTCGATCTTCTACGGACAGTCACTCTCGACTGAAGGGACTTTCAGCCGTGGAGGCGCAATCTTCTTCTCTATCTTGTTCCTAGGCTGGCTTCAACTGTCGGAACTCATGAAAGCAGTATCTGGGCGCGCAGTAGTCGCCCGCCACAAGGACTACGCATTCTACCGGCCCTCGGCAGTCGCTGTTGCCCGAGTGATACAAGACCTCCCAGTCATAGCTGTGCAGGTCTGTATTTTTGGCGTCATCATGTATTTTATGACTGGCCTGGACCTGGATGCCGGCAAATTCTGGATTTACATGCTCTTTGTATACGTTACGACCATCAACCTCACGGCCCTCTACCGCATGTTTGCTAGCTTGTCTCCGGAGATTGATACAGCTGTGCGGTTCTCTGGGATCGCTCTTAACTTACTTGTTATCTACACTGGTTACATGATCCCAAAAACGCAACTTTTATCAAACTATATATGGTTTGGCTGGCTGGTAAGTACTGAAGCTCCCCTCATGTCCTCGCCACTCACATTGTGTGGAGCTATCTGCTAACGCTGGGTCCTCCTTGGCAGTACTGGATCAATCCAGTGTCGTATAGCTTCGAGGCGGTACTTTCAAATGAATTCACCAGTCGACAGATGCAATGCGCTGCAAGCCAGCTTGTACCCCAGGGGCCTGGTGCGCAACCCGCATATCAAGGCTGTGTTGTTAGTGGCGCTGGAGTTAATGCGCAGGCGGTGTCTGGTGATGACTACATTCAGTCCTCTTTCGGATATAGTCGATCACATCTCTGGCGTAACTTCGGCGTGGTCATCGCGTTCACGGTCCTCTACCTCCTGGTCACACTCCTTGCCACGGAATTATTCAGCTTCGCTTCAGGTGGAGGTGGCGCCCTCATTTTCAAGAAAAGCCACCGGGCCAAGCGACGGGTCAAGCTAACCCAATCACCATCAGAAGAAGAAAAAACCTCAGGCGGTGGGAGCGACTCGAATGACCAGTCTTCCAGTACTAAGCTAGGAGACTCGCCGGCGTCGGCTGGGAATGAGAGTGAAGGTATGGAGCAGCTTACGAAGAGCGACTCCATATTCACCTGGAGAGATGTGGAGTACACAGTTCCTTATTTGGGTGGCGAACGTAAGCTGCTGAACAAAGTCAATGGCTACGCAAAACCTGGGCTTATGGTAGCTCTCATGGGAGCGTAAGTAAAGATCATCCCACACTTTCACTGTTCTGTGTTGGGTTATAGCACATGAGCCCAACTCTGCACATGGCAGGATTTTAGGATAAGAGTGACAGTCGTACTCATTCCGCGCTAATTATATCGTTCTTATAGGTCCGGTGCTGGCAAGACCACGCTTCTAAATACTCTTGCTCAACGACAACGCACTGGAGTTGTCTCCGGCGAGATGTTCGTCGACGGCCGACCGCTGGGCACCGACTTTCAACGTAACACTGGATTTTGTCTTCAAGGGGATCTCCATGATGGTACACAAACCGTCCGAGAAGCAATCGAATTCTCGGCAATACTGCGTCAAGATGCGTCGATTCCTCGGAGCGAGAAGCTCGAGTATGTGGACAGGATCGTTGATTTATTGGAGTTGCAAGACCTTCAAGATGCCATCGTAATGTCACTAGGGGTTGAACAGCGGAAGAGGCTCACGATCGGAGTTGAGCTTGCCGCGAAGCCCTCGCTGCTACTGTTCCTGGATGAACCTACCTCGGGTTTGGACTCTCAGTCGGCATACTCGATCATCCGATTTTTGAGGAAGCTCAGCAGAGCTGGTCAAGCCATCGTGTGCACAATCCACCAGCCCAGCTCGATCCTGATACAGGAATTTGACATGGTTCTCGCTCTTAATCCTGGTGGAAATACTTTTTACTTTGGACCGATCGGCGAAAACGGGAAAGATGTTATCGAGTACTTTGGCGAACGTGGTGCTGTGTGTCCCCCCAACAAGAATGTCGCCGAGTTTATTCTCGAGACTGCTGCGAGGCCACACAGGAAACCAGATGGAACAAAAGTCAACTGGAATGACGAGTGGAGTGATAGCGACCAGGCACTGCGAGTTATTGAAGAGATTGACGGACTCAAGCAAGTCCGCAGCAGAGCCTCGCAGCCTGAGAAGGTCACAAAAGCCCAGCAGAAGGAATATGCGGCATCCGTCTGGCTGCAGACAACTGAGTTGACCAAACGAATGTTCAGGCAGTATTGGCGGGATCCTTCCTACCTATATGGCAAATTCTTTACCTCTGTGATCATGGGTATATTCAATGGTTTCACTTTCTGGCAGCTTGGCTACACGATCCAAGACATGCAAAACCGCATGTTCACAAGCTTTCTCATCATCACAATCCCAGCGACCGTCGTAAACGCGGTCGTACCCAAATTTTTCGGCAACATGGCTCTCTGGCAGGCACGAGAGTACCCGTCCCGAATATATGGATGGGTTGCCTTTTGCACTGCGAATATTGTTGCCGAAGTTCCTGCGGCCATTATCTCTGGTTTTCTCTACTGGGTTCTTTGGTACTGGGCCACTGGCTTGCCTACCGAGAGCTCCGTCTCGGGGTATGCATTCCTAATGACTGTGTTGTTCTTCCTTTTTACGAACAGCTGGGGTCAGTGGATCTGTGCCTTCGCTCCTAGTTTTACTGTTATCTCCAACGTAAGTAATCTCATTGACTCTCTATCCACGAGGCACTGGAACGAGCAGGAAAGGGAAAGGGGTCTGACATAAGTACTAGGTGTTACCTTTCTTCTTTGTCATGTTTGGGCTATTCAACGGAGTGGTACGGCCTTACTCATCGCTCCCTGTATTCTGGCGATATTGGATGTATTGGGTCAACCCGTCCACGTACTGGATCGGCGGAATGCTTGCAGCGACGCTTGACGGTGCCCCTATACAGTGTGCAGACGAGGAGACAGCACGCTTCGATCCACCACCAGATCAGACCTGCCAGGCCTATGCAGGAATATTTGCGGAGCGTGCCGGAGGGTACCTGCTCAACCCTGATGCAACTATCGGGTGCATGTATTGCCCTTACACAGTCGGCAACCAATACCTGGCAACATTGAACATCGACGCAAGCCAGAAATGGAGAGACTTCGGTATTTTCTTGGCCTTCTGTATCTCCAACTGGGCATTGGTATACTTCTTCATCTTCACAGTTCGTGTCAAAGGGTGGAGTTTTGGAATGGGATATATCTTTGGGGGACTTGGCAAAGTTGTAGATCTGTCGAAGAAGCCCTTCCGGTCTAACGCCAAGAAGGAGCATCAGTGATTACAGGGATAGAGAGCATCGGAGTTGAAATCAAAGATAAGTTATTGAATAGCTTTCTAGACAAATGGCAAATATAGAACTCCATACAGCATTACCGCATGAACTTTCGAGAGTTCTACACTCCGATCCATCTTCAAGTGGATGCTGTTTGGCAGTCACTTGTTCGTCTCATTATACAATACGCCCCAGAGCTGGCCTGAATACAATTCTGGTGCACGGTGAGAGAATAATGGCCTCATACTGCCGAAACGACACGGGAGGCTATCGTCGCAATCCCAAATGACATTTCAAGGCCACCCTGGCCTTGAACCCATGGATACGAAGATGCGGTGTTTTCGGAACAGCAGAGTACTACTCCGTTTGCAAATAAAGTGTTGGTGGATATAATCTTGGGCTCACAGCTACTTTGAAAGGTAGTCTACATACCGGAACTCTGTCGGTTGTGAAGTCCGCTGACTCGTGACCTTGGTGTCGAGCTCCATTCATTGCGGGAGTGTTTTTTACTGGAGTCATTCTATGGTCAGAACCTTCTTCGTGTACATTAGCGATATATCGTAGGTCAGGATACACCAAGATGAGGTCTAACCGTATAACAGCATACATCTACACGGGCCTTTGGACAGGCTAACGGAGCCACACTAGCAATAATGCGAGGATCTCTCCGTCTACAAACCACTGGTCTTGATGATATGCCTGACCCTTGCTTCCAGCCAGTCCGTATTCCCCCAAAACCCCCAGCTTGCCTGAAACCTCAACCAGTCTACAAGCGCTGCTTCCCAGTGTCGGACAAAGATATCCCAAGGGTACACCTTGCCGGAAGACTTCTCCAGCTGGTCGATGTAATGAAGCAACAAAGCTTTCTCGCCGGGTTGCATTTCTAGCCCTTGTATATTCGTGCCCCCTGCGGTACCTCCCATCAACTCCGTTGCAGGGACAGAGCATGTGAACAGCTTCGCCAAGTCGCATACGCCGAGGCCGAGGCCGACATATTGAAAATCGACAAATGCAACCTCTTCCCCAGAGGGTGAAGCAAACATGTTTTCCGACTTCACATCTCCGTGGATCAAGGTCTCATAGTCAGACACCGGCCCTGGATCGGCAGAATCAGAGGCTGGTGACAGAAGTTCGGCCACTCGCTCGGCTAAGGAAATTCCGTCAGGCTGAGCTGGATCGCATAAGGGTCCTGACCACTCCGATTGTTTGTCATGTAAGAGGCTCAGGTACTCCTTCCGACGCGTAGCCAGATAGGTATAACCTCCGTTTAGCCAAACACCGCTGACCGTGAAGCGATCGTGGGGCTCCGCGGAAGGCTTGACGCTCCGCCGCTGCCTTTGTCTCGATGCTTCCGCCAATGGAGGCAGCAGCATGTTCTCTCTGCGAAACTGATCCATCCTGCCCCAGAAATGGCCATGAAATCCAGCAAGCCAATTTAAAGCCGCCAGGACTTGGGTCGGATTCAGCTCGCCACGCTTCTCTAGAGACACCGAAAATGCATTCTTGGGCCTCAAGCTAGATTCGGGGCTCCTTAGGTCCTTAAGAACGAGCGCGGTTGTCTTTCCATCGTTGATACTGGCAATGCATTCGGCAACAGCGACGTCTTCGGGCAGCTGCGGCGCTAGCCTGGTGTAGAAATACTGCTCCACTTGATAGGACAGTATCTTTCGGATGTGGCCCTCGTCATGGGCACTGGCCGTCGTTGGTGGTGAGATGTATTTGAGAATCAATGATACTGGCGACGCGCCGTTCGTGATGGAAGGGTCACCACCGCGGCGCCGCGCGGCAGTGACCTGGCAGATATGGCCATAGCCTGCCCACAAAGACTGGGTCACGTGGCAAGAGACCAAGTCAAGCTCTCTCTGAGAGATGAGGGAGGCTGCAATGTCACTCAATGACGCATCGGTGGTACCCATCATTGCTGAGCCTCCGTCAGGGGCGGTCACACACTTGTACAGGAGACCAAGCACGGCATTTGCCGCGGGGTTGATATTTTGCAGGCAAGAGAGAAAGGCGGTGGGTCCCCAAACGATGGCTTGCAGAACGAGCAGAATGCATGGAACGGCGGCCACGACAGCGAAACGATGCTGTGAATATGGCATGACGACCGTGGTCGCATCGGTGTATGTAGCACTGTATGTCTTACAGTTTTGATTTGAAGCGGTTGCTGGTCGGTGGCCTGGAAACGGTCGGCATAACCGGTCTCCCTGCCACCCAGGTTTAACCCGCTAAGCTGGCTGGGACCGGTAGAGTCGCAGTCAAACTCACAGCCTCGGCGGGGAGATAGTGTAATTACAACCTGCTCTTGTTCGCTCCTTTGAGGGGACTATAACGGCCAGGCAATGCAAATGAACAATTATGGTTTTTGGTATCATGATGTGAGCCTCTCCAACTTGGCCCTAATCGGCCCCATTTGGATTGGGGACACAAAGACAACAATTTGACAAAACGTTATATACATCTATATACACAAGGGTCTACTGTAAGCAAACACAGCTATGAAATGTAAGGGGTATGGTAGCCACTCGGTCCCAGTACAACGATTTCACAATTTGGGATTGAATCTTGCGCGAATTCGTTCTCCAAACATGAAGAAAACCACTGGGATTGGGACAAGTGCTAGGGAGATGAAAGCCAGCAAGCTGTTTCCCCAGCCGAGCCCTAATGAGTTGTACATTTGCAACCCACCGAGCGGCAGTAGGGCTCCAAGCAACGAACGGAGGACCGCTAACGCTGCTGTGACCGAAGCTGCATATGATGGATATGTGTCGAGCAGGTAGTTCTGAACCGACATCATGATTCCCATGAGGCCAGCACTGAAGATGACCACGCCGAGCATGGGCACGATCCAGTGAACACCCTTGTCTGTCGTCCAACCGTAGATAAACAGTCCAATGGGCAATGTCAACCCACTGGGTACCGTAATGGCCGGTGCAAGTCGCACCTCTGGCTTATGAGCAACTCCCTTCGCCTTGTTCTGTTTTACCATCATGTCTGTAAGTTGTCCAAAAGCCACAACACCAATCATCATCCCCAGCCCGGAAGGAATGAACGTGAGCCCGGTACTGCCCTCGTCGAACCCGTACTCATTCTTGTAGACGAATGAAAAGGTGGTAATCTGATAGCGGCAGTATTTTAGCTATGTTGCAATGGAAAGTGACTTGCAAAGGCTATTACGGTGTGCCGGTTGCTCTCTGCTTCAAACGATGCCACTGGGACTTCTTACACATGCTTAACAGCCACAAACTCCGTTCTCATATGTGCGAAATGTGAAATGGGTGCACCTACCAGTAGATATAGGATTCCATAGGTAATTGCAACGTACAGGGCATTGAGCGTGACGATCGGTGTAACCAAGAGCAGCTTCAGGGGGCGGACGAGGGCGAGCCTGAACTGCTCCTTGGGTCCGGCCCGACCAGATGCCTTGCTGCGTAGCTCAAGGTTCCCGGTTTTTTTGCGGAGACGACGAGTCTTTTGCTCCAACAATGCGGGTGCGAATGTTTCCTGGAGGAACATGACGGACACAGGGATGAAGATACCAGACTTGGTATCACGTTAGAACTGTACGCCATGTCGGGGTCAGCAAAGAAGACATACCAGTATTAATATCAGCCAGTAAACCCATCGCCACCCGGCAGCTCTGATCAGATAGCCACCAGCGACAGGACCAATGATGGGTCCAAGCAATGGGCCGAGCGCCCAAGCTGACATGGCCCTACCACGCTTTTCAACGGGCATAATATCTGCGATGCTGCCACTCCCAATAGTAATGGGCACTGACCCCGAGAGACCCATGAGTAAACGAAACGCCAACAGCATGCCGATGCTTTTGCTTAACGCAGTACCGACTGTGAATACGGCGAAGAGTATGTTGCCGATGATGTAGAGCGGCCTACGACCGTATATCTCACTTAAGGGGGCGACGATCAAGGGGCCGAAAGCGAACCCAAGGATGTAAATGGACACGAGAAACGTTGCCGTGATAGAAGAAGTACTGTGGAACTCAACCATTATGCTGGGTATTCCTGGAGCAAACATGGATGAACCCAACGGCCTTGAGAATGTTAGATATAGATCGAATATCGAAGGACGTCACCGCGATACGTACGTGACAATGGTGAGGAGGGAAAGGAGGGAGATATTGAGCCATTTCTTAGAATCTGGCCAGTTCATAGGGTTCTGCGGATCGAGTGGCCCATCCCAGCCTACGACATTGGGATCCGTCTCATTGGTTGATTGGGGTTTTTCGCCGCCAGCCTCAATATCGGTTTCACCACCAGGACCAAGCGTCACTGTGTCAAGGTCTTGAGCCGGAGTGGCCACAGCACCTTCAGGCACCTCGTCTTTTGCTCTAGTGGCCATGGTCGGCCTCCGATCAGTGGATGCTGCCTTGGTGTGCTTGTTGTAGAAGGTGCTGGAGGATCTCGAGGTTGATGGATGGGAGGAGGAACAACAGGAACATATTTAGGTTCTTTGATGTCAGCGAGTCCGAGTGGACGGCGTGAAGATGGCGAGAGCAACAACGTTATTAGGGTCCAGATTGAGCCAACGAGCCAAGATATATCAATGATCTGGGTGTGCTATGTACGCATCGTATAAACGGACCGGAAGCTACCCTCATCCGTCCCAGTAATTATGTCGAGCATAAAAGCTTGGGTTTGCTGCTTGCGTTCTGTTTTATGCAACCCAGTGTGGGGATGGTCAGTTGGTTAGCGAGCATAAATAGCATCCGCCCGGGCTGCACACGATATCGTTCCGGATTCTCGGGGGGCCGGCCTAGACTCTTACAGGGCATCGCTACGGCAGTGACCGGGGTCTCGATTGGCTTTCGCAGCGCCCTCTGCTGGACCCGGCGTCGGCGAACGCCAGTCTGGATGGACGATTTCGAAACCAATTTGCTCACGATGGTTCCGGACGGCCGTCCTCTAGCCAAGATTGGGGCCGACGAACTTCTAAACGACACGTTCTTAAGTACAGAGTCTACATAGGCCTATCAGTGCAGCCACTGGGATATCGTTGATCTCCTTGGGGTTGCTGCCTCGCCCACCCAGCAAGGCATGGTGGTTATAATACTCTTCGCGATGAATTAGTTCGACCTATCCCTATCTCAAAGCACGCTGGTCTGAACCAGAGACGCGGGTCCGCACCTCCGTTAGTAGGTAATCTGCCTACGCGGTGGTAGTAGTCGAGACAGGGAAATTGGTCATTGCGAAGGTTATGATCTAGAACACCATCCCGAATACGGAAACGAAATCAAACTAGTTCGATCCCGCATACGTGGCACATGGGCAACCAGCGTACCACGTACGGATATCGCGTGGTCGCTTTCATGTGGAGGTTTGCAGCGAGGAAACCAATTGCTGAGAGCCAGGTCATGAAATCGACTGGGGCAACGATAGGAGGGGGGAAGGTTGAGGTCAGTCCCCAGAGTTGGTATACGAAGCATGATCTCATACAACTGACATGTACGTGTGCACACTGTACGTCCTGATACCCTTCATCGGTGCGAACTAGAAACTACTGGCGATGATTCATGCTCGAGATAATAGTAAACAACAGTGCCTCCTCTGTGCCCCCCCAGACCAGCGGCACGGGATCCTCGTGTCCCCCCGCTTTGCCCACATAGATCAATTCAGCTATAATTATCTATGGCGAGTGGCCATTGCTGCGTCCTCGAGCCGCTCAATGACCCAGCATTTCTTAGGGACTTCCTGGTGGGCTGAGATGGCGTATCGCTACTTAGCTTCGTTGATGCACCCTGATATTTGGCAATTTGCAACCCAAGGATGGACTGATGGGAGGGATGGTATGCACGTAGGCATCTCACCAATGTAGACCGGCGACAAATGGTCGAGCAGAGAGCTGAGACATGAGGACGGCGTGGCTGTGGATGTAAAATGCTAGTTCTAGGGCGAGAGATATCAAAACAACCTGTAAATCGAGGTAGTTACGGAACGGAGAAAGAAACCACGATGGATAGCGACGACACAACGTGCAACAGTGACCGGCAGAAGACACGCTCGCAGATGCACGCGAGCTACAGACACCGCGTGAGACGGCCGAGAGGGAGGGGGCTGTTGCCCGGGAAAGGGCCAATGGCGGCGAGGGTTACGATTTGTATAGTAAGTAACCTCGATTAGGCTTGTCGGGCACCGCAACAGTATAGTCAAGAAAAAACTGGACGATAGAAGGAAGTACTGTGATTGGTATTGCCAGTATAGGCCCCACCAGCCAGCCAAGAACAAAATGCTTTCTCGACCGAACAGCCCGGGCCGCAGACTACACTACCTGCAGGCTTGGCTGGTAGATCTCCAGGAATTGAAAAAGTCGATCTGCGTTTCGGCGGATCGTGCACACTCTCCCCAATTGATACCTTGATAGCTGCCCCCACATCGCCAGACGTCATTATCTGACCCGAGGTAAGTAAGAGTTGTAAACATACACACGCGTCAAACCCCTCTTTTTCGATCCCTGCTCGGGCGGAGTCGCAGTCACTGGATTTCAATCCATAGCTCCCAAAAAATGGCAACGGCTCTGAACTTCAATATCGGCCCTTGAGTTGTTCACGCACGTAACCCCGAGAGGTAATTCAACGTATCGTGGCAGCAAAAGCAGCAACCATGGCGATCTCTTCTACTAGGGTGGCCCTGTATATCGCCCTCTTGTCTATCCCCTTTGCCTACCTGTACCCAGGGATACAAAGGGTCATAACGGTGTTGGGTGTGTTCCGAACTCCAGCGACTGTTCAACTGACGAGCTCGGAGGATCTGGTATACGTCGATGGAACCATCCACTGCGAGGACGTCCACTACCATGCTCCAAGCCACAAGTTGTTCACGGCGTGTGAAGATTCGCCCGTGACAAGATTTGGCTGGTTCCCTCCTCTGGCCAAGTTCAACGCCTCGGTCCTCAACCAAGCCCGAGGGGGGCTATTCGTGATCGACCCCGTTGTAAGTCTCTTCGCCTGTCTCTTCCCGCATGGCTACATGAGCTGATCCCCGCGGCACCCTCAGACCAAAAAAGCACAAAAGTTGGAACTGGAGAAATTCAGAGGTCCATTTGTGACACATGGAATCGATGTAATTCCGGACCCTGGGAAGCGTGAAGGTGAGGCCGTGTACATTTTTGCGGTCAACCATCTGCCGAATCCAGAGTTCTACTCCTATGCTAGCGGTTACCAAGTTGATCCCGAGGCAACCGCTGGCAAAGCTGTTCCAAAGGCACGCTCCCAGATTGAGGTATTCTACCATAAGGTTGGCTCCTCCAAGGCCCAGCACATCCGTTCTGTATGGCACCCGGCGATCAAGACGCCCAATGACATATTCGCGCTGAGTCCACAGCATTTCCTCGTCACGAATGACCACTACTACCGCGAGGGTCTGATGCGAGAGGTCGAAGATATCTATCCCGGTGCCAAATGGTCAAATACCCTCGACATCGAAGTATCCGACCTCTCTAAAACTGCCGAGGCGTCATCTGGAGTGAAAGTCAAGGTCGTTGTTGACAGCATACACAACAACAACGGTCTTAGCCATGGCCGCACTGAAAACGAGGTTCTCATTGGCAGTGCCGTTGGAGGAAGCCTCCATTTTGGTAGTATATCCCACGACCCCAGCTCCGTCCAGGTCGGAGATATTCTGTACCTCGATTCCGCGATCGACAATCCAAGCTACTTTGTCGATCCGTACGGTGGCACAGCAAGCTCAGCTGACAAGAGCGGATATGTGCTCGCCGGCCTCGGCCGAGCCATCGATCTAAGCAAGACGAAGCATGACCCTCACGGCAAAGACCCTGTTGTGGTCTGGTATGCCAAGAAAAGCGAGGATGGGGCATGGAACACGAGACTCTTGTTTGAGGACGACTCGTCTAGGATCCGTTCCGCCAGCGCTGCGGTTCTCGTTGCAATCGACCCCGCCAAGGAGGATGGAAAACGACGTGCCTGGCTGTATGTTACAGGGTTTATATCAGACCATATGATTGCAGTCAAGGTCGACCTGTAATAGAACAATATGTACTCGATAAGGGGAAAAAAGT